GTTATCTACATCTTAAGGTTTGCTTAAGTCAATATCATAAGATCTGCCTAGTCTCTATGCGACTTCTAAGGAAGTGAGCTAAGAGTTTTTTGTGAGCTTCTTCTTCATCGCTCACAAAAAACTCTGCGCCTGTGGTAAGGTTGTGTTACGTTTAGTTTTGGGTAGTAGCAATTCGCTTATAAGCATTTGGGGTATGACATTATTGATGCCTAATCTCCCGTGAGCGTGCATAAGGAAATTATGCCACATGGGCCGCATCGCTTGAAAAGCGAAAATTATCTTGCCCATCATTCCGCATTGACGTTGCTGACAACGCTTCCGCACGCACACACACAAGTACCAGCACAGTAAACATCAGTGACAGCATAAAGGGAGCCAGAAGAAAAGTGCATTCGCACAAGTAGCACGCAAAACGGCGTGGTTGATAATCGCGATTGCCGTGATAGTAAGTTGGAAGTGTAAAAAACTGTGTTCTCGGGCGCGAGCAGCTCTGTGCGATCGAAGAAGAACGCACCGGATGGTGGATCAACGATCAAACATCGTTGAAGCTTGCCGACGACAGATTAACCGTGTGCTCAGGCCAAGGCAACGACGCCACAACACGATCTCCCGGACAGACGCTATCGGTGAAGAACCACTGCCTGTGGCTAAAAAGGCCTTCAAACAGAAGGCCTTTTGTTCTGATTGCTATTCCGCAGGTCGGACTACTCAGCTGCGCGAGGGCCAGTGTGTCGGGGCTGTACGTGATTCTGGCGAGGTCATCGTAGACACGACGGATGAGGGTTGTCCGGACCGGACTCTAAACCACGGAACAACGGGTGGTCATTGTGCTGTGTGTGTGGAGCAAGTCAGACGGACGAGCCGCGGAACATCAGTGCGGTAATCCAGCGGCGGTAAGGGTGCACCCAGCAGCATTGAGTGAGTACTCTTAAGAAGAAGTAAGCGGAAAGAAGAAGAGAAAAGATGTAGGGAAGTGAGAGCAGCAAAGGCCGAAGAAAGATAGGAGAGGAGGTTAGGCAGGAGAAAACCATGCCGGCACAATAAATTAATGTAAACGTCAATGCTAACCCAATTTTTATTTCGTTGGTGCACATTTTCCCAGTGTTTGCGTGTTAGCCCATTCAAAGGTAGTCTGCTCTACCGCTACCTGTAAATTGCAACACCATTTACTACTGACGGTATCATTGAAAGAATCTTTATATTCGTGTGTACCATTCGGCATGGATTGTGTGCGTTAGTTTCTGTTCATGATACATCTGCGTATCGCAGTATAACATTGGCGAATGGTTCATATTCAGCAACATGTAATGACACTGAATATGGATGGTCAAAAGCTGTTGCATAAAGTGAACATTAACTTTTCACATCGAATTACGTGGGTTATTGGGGGAGATTTTGTATTGCCAGGTTCCTAATTTTGCGTATATATCCTAGCCATTGTAAATCCATTGAAATACTATATTCCTGAAAACTTTTTCAGAGGATTTCCAACAAAACATAATCCCTAGTACCCCTGATATTCTTGACTGGATTTTCTTTATTGGTCGGGATGTTATAGCGTCGTCCACTGTTGTGGTGATGTGGCATGTGGCCTCTCATTCCACAAAACATGCATGCAACCTCGATTAATGTCAGACACCCACTGGCCCACTACTGTGGCGGCGATGTGGCGTGTCAAAACATTATGCTGAAACATTGCATGTGGCGAACGTCAACATGATTTTAGTGAAGTTAGTTTCTGATATGGCGGCGGAGTGGCATCTGCTAGCATGGTAAATAAGCTTGTCGTGGTTTGCCTTACGCCACATTACATCCACATGATCTTTTGGCATGTTGTATGATGCCGCACCATCGCCACAACAGTGGGCCGTCTCGTGTCCGCGGTACGTTGTTCTAGAGTTTTTTTTTTCGATTACACGAGTGAATCCCGTAAATTTAATACACGTATCATGTGGACATTTGATTTAATTGGTTCCAAAATGGAATACCCCGTGATCCCGGCGATATAGGAAGTTACTGTGTTCGGCAAACATTTTCAGGTGACTAAGATCTTTCCGATGGTGGACATGTTCAGAGTTCAGCCACTAGGTGGCGTAAGTATACATATGAGATTTTTTATGAGCCATTTATATCTCATGAACCAGACATTCATGGGAAATACAGTCCTCAACAATGTTTTTTTCCCCGGTGGACAAGGCCTTCTACATGAAGAACAGGTTAATTGCGAATGCTCTTGTTACGCGACTCAATTGTATATGTGCTTTATCACAAGATCCTGACTTACTTGGAAAATACAGTCTTATATTATTATTTAGCTTTATTTAGGAGGCTTTCAGCCTTAGGCTGGTTCGCCTCCAATAAATACAGTCTTCTACATAGCTGCTAAGCTAACCAAGTCCTTTCAAATGATGGACAATACACTCTTATAAATTATCACCGACTTCGGTAATTTTTACCGAAATCTGAACAGCTGAACTTTTCGGTAAAATTTATGCAATTCAATTCAATTGCTTTTCAGCTACTTTGAAACTAAATCTCCACTAAAATGACAAGATTTGATAATTTAAACAAGGTTGAAAAAGTTTTGACATTATTTTCAAATTCAATAGCCTTTAAAATGAAAGTCAAAGTTTTGCAGAACGTTCAGCTGTTCTGATTTCGGTAAAATTTAACGAACACGGAAACAACATCTTAGTGTGTAAGTGTGTATGATACATGCACAAGCTCTTACGTACACTAGCGCAGTGTACGTAAGAGCTTGTGCATGTATCATATCTCAAGATTTTGGCCTTTTGAGAAATAACTGTTCACTGCTAAGTTGTTCAGATGGCCAAGGTCACTGCAAAGTTGTCCAAAAATATATGAAAACTTTCCCGAAGTCACCCATTCACGGATTTTTTATACGTTGTAGCAAGCGTGATTGACCATTTTATGGATAATCCGGATCATCTGGACAACTTGTTTGTGGCCTCCAGTGTGCATAATTTTGCTTCAATGCGACATTCAGTGAGATAACACATCAACAAGTGCTTGCCCAAAAAAAATGGAGCTCTAGGGCCAGTTTAATTTATTTGCCTATTTTACGGATGTTCCGGATCTTCCGGAGGACCAGTCTGTGATTATCAATATTATGGCCACAATATGAAATTAATTCGAAAAACACATCAACAAGTGTGTTCGCAAAAAAAAAGGAGCTCTAGAAACAGTTTAATTAATTGACCACTTTTACGCATGTTCCGGATCTTTTAATGGACCAGCCTTAGCCCTCCAGGGTACATATTTGGACCAAAACCCCATATTTTTACTTTAAACTCACCAATAAGTGCTTCCGCTAAAAACTGCGCACTTTTACGGATGTTACGGTGTCCCGCTGGAAGACACATTTAACCAAAAGCCATTGTTTACAAAAGCTGTTACGCCCTAATTCCAGCTCTATCAAGACATGAATAATGCTCGCGTAACATTTGAAAAGGGCCTATCAACTTTTGTAAATAATTTGCTAGGTCCTTTTCACGAGAACCGAAGTACGCCCACACAAACCAAGAGCACTATCGGGAAGGGGAGAATTTCCTCTGCCCGATGGTGTTGTTAGCTTGCGTGAGCGTATTCGGTTCGCGCGAAAAAGGCTTAACAAGTTTTGTGTACATAAGTTGATAGACCCGTTTCAGATGTTACGTGAGTATTATTCATGTGTTCATTTTTAGTAAACAGGGCCCTGCTGTTGTGTCACTTTTTGTCGAGTGAGTGAACTCAAATCCATCCGTGCACTCGTCTATAAGGCTGTCCACGAGACAGTTACGATCAGCTGACTTTTTTGTTAACCAAGAGCTTTTGACAGATCACAGTAGAACTGGCAGTTTATTCTCATATGAATTTCTGCTTTGTTTATGTTTACATTCAGCACCATTAACACCAGATCATTCACACACTCAAGATTTCTAGCTATCAGTTCCACTGAGAAACGTCTCTTGGATCAGTTTGACAGATAACATCAGGGGTGTGTGGATTCATGCAGAACATGCAGGGGTGAGTGAAATAGCTTGGGACTGCTTGGGACCCGAGTTGGGACCGTTGTTCTGGTACTGAGTGAGCCAAAAATAATAATGATTTTCTTCGGGACCCAGTGGTCTTAGAGCGAATCAAAACAAACATAGTGTAGTAATAGAATTTCAACTAGAATAGGGTACGTTAATCGTTTGCTTGGGACCAATAGGCTACTAGTTGCGAATTGATATGGTTCCACTGAATATTTTTCGTAGAAAAATATACTAAACTGATTTTAATAATGGTAGTTTTTGTAGATTTCAATACAAGATATTCATTGGGTTGGAATGTGAACAATGCACTTATTAATTGCAACGTATAATCCCTCCAATAAGCAGAAATGATTCTAAATAATAATCGTGTTTTTCTCAGATCCAAGTTATGGTACATGGGACAGATATGCGTAGAACGGCAGAAGATTTCTATAGGAATTACCATGTCAATGGTAGATTTCACCTTATCTAATGTTTATTGCTTATTCGGTATGAATTTTACGTGATATCAAATACCTACCTAAGTAGGAAGCAATTCTATGTTATCTGATGCAGTCAAATGATTTAATGACTTATCAGATATAATTTACAACCGGTACAGTAGGTACCGCACCAGGTGTTTAATGGTTTTTTTTCCAATTCATTTATCAATCGCGTTAGCTTTACGGAGCCGATATTTCATTGTTTGTAGTTTAACAAGAATAATTCAATACTACGTCTTGTAGGGGTGGACCGATTTCTCTTGGTTATAGTTTTGAATGGTTGTGGATAATTATTGATTTGTCTCAAGGCCACGAATTTCAATATGTATGTTCATTGATAGATATTTTACCCAGGTCTCTAACTAGTAATATCGGACAGAATCCAAAAGTCAATTGATTTTTCTTTTCTTTTGGGGGTTAGTGATATGAAAAGTTAATTTGAAATTCTTAATATCAACAATATTGTATTATTATGGAAACCTTTTACACTGCAGTACTATCGATCCAAGCACGGTAGTGAGAAATGCCAACGTACACCGATGGACGTCCAATCGTGCCACATGGCATCCATCCCCAGGACACAATGCCGACCTGAGTCTGCACACCGTTGGCGATGGTGTACAGTGGGCCGCCGGAATCTCCAGAGCAGGCAGAGATACCTCCGGTCAGTGGTCCAGTGCAGAGGTTGGATGGTCCCAGCGGACTGTTTCCTTCTCCTCCGTTGGCTTGCAGGCAAGTCTCGTAGTCGATGATTGGCTTGACGACCTTCTGCAGAATGGCTGGCATCGATGGATTGGCAGTGTTCGAAGTGCTTCCCCATCCGGCAAGAGTGGCCGGTCCTGGTTGGGGCTGATTTCCGATAGGCTGCAGCGTGGCGGGTTGGACGAAATCATTGAAGTTCAAGTATCCGACCAGGCGCATGACAGCCACATCGGAAGGATTAACTCCACCGAGGTATTCCGGATGAACAATGGATTGCTCGACGTTGACCAACTGACGGGTAGTTTCCGAGGCGGTGATATCATGCGATCCAGCCCATACGGCGAAGCGGGCATTCTCAGGCGATTCAGTGACACAATGAGCAGCGGTCAAGACCCAGCGCTGGTTGATAATGCTGCCACCGCAGATGTGAGCCGACAGAGTCAGGATCAAACGCTGAATTGAAACGATGCTCGGAAACTCATGGCGCAGAGCATTAATTCCACCAACAACACGTCCACCACGTGCTAGTTCGATGTAGTCCTTGCTAGGGGCAGCCGAAACCGCAGCAATCAAGCACACTAAAAGTCCGAACAGTTTCATTTTCGTAGATTAACTGTAGGCTATGACCCATAACCCAGCCTATTTATACCTTCCGGATGTTTTTTTTTTGTATTTCTACGCACATTTTGGGAAACTTTAATCGCTTCCGTTATCGTCTTTAAGCCGTCGTTATGTTACCAGCTGTCGATACGAAGGTGTTTGCTTATCTTTTGCTACAACCTGCGTAATGTTTGGGAATTTCACAGATTCAACCGATAACCATTCGGCAACACTTTATTGTATAACGGGTAGTCGGTGGTTTATCACTGTTATCAGAACTGGGCATTTCACTTTGATAAACGTTACAATTTAAACAGCAAAGATGTATGACACGGTGGCAAGCGTAATGCAATTAGACAATGTTTAAATGCCATGATAAGTTTTTGGGGATGGTCAGTCATCAAAGGCAAGCAGAAACTTGTGGTTAATCTTATCCAAAGAGAAACAATTTATTGCATACGAAACCTTTTACACGGCGTGGGCATCGATCCAATCACGGTAGTGAGAAATACCAACATAAACCGATGGACGACCAACCGATCCACATGGCATCCATCCCCAGGACACAATACCGACCTGAGTCTGTACGCCATTTTCAATTACGTACAGTGGGCCGCCGGAATCTCCGGAGCAAGCAGAGACACCTCCGGTCAGTGGTCCAGTGCAGACGTTGGATTCGCCCAACGGACTGGCACCCGGTCCTCCGTTGGCCTCCAGACAAGTTTCGTAGTCGATGATTGGCTTGACGACCTTCTGCAGGATGGCTGGCATTGATGGAACGGTAGTGCTGGAAGTGCTTCCCCATCCGGCAAGAGTAGCTGGTCCTGGTTGCGCGTGTGAGCCAAATGGCTGCAGAGTGGCGGCTTGAACGAAAGCGTTGAAGTTCAAGTAGCTGGTCAGGCGCATGACAGCCACATCGGATGGATTAACTCCACCGAGGTATTCCGGATGGACGATAGACTCATCCACATTGATCATCTGACGGTTAGTTTCCGTGGCGGTAATGTCGTGCGATCCAGCCCAAATGGCGAAACGGGCGGTCTCAGGCGATTCAGTAATACAATGAGCAGCGGTTAGGACCCAGCGTTCGTTGATGATGCTGCCACCGCAGATGTGAGCTGACAGGGTCAGGATCAAACGCTGAACCGAAACAATGCTCGGGAATTCATTGGGCAGAGCGTTGATTCCACCGACCACGCGTCCTCCGCGGGCTAGTTCGATGTAATCCTTTTCTAAAATGATGCATTGTTAATTCACTGCATACGCTTTCAGTCAGTAGCATGTTAACTTACGGGGAGCAGCCGCAACGGCGCCAACCAAGCACACCAAAAGTCCAAGAAGTTTCATTGTTGCAATAGAACTGCAGATCTCTCTTTTTAAGTCTGTATTTATACGATTTTCGAAATTGCATGATAATAGATTTAGATGAGATTGTTTTTTAATTGTAGACCTCCACTGCACTGATACCGTTGCAATTTTAGACCATCAGCAAGCTTATCAAATTGAAAAAAAAAAAAAACATTTACGTATGGATTGGGATTTTCACAGGTTGCTAATCGGTAACAATCACTCCAATAAAATACGTAACGGTTTGCTGTTTGTTGATTTGGGAGATTCTGGTGGAATTTTTTTGAAGTTTAGAATTTGTTACTAATTAAATTCATAAACCTTTCATAATTTAACTAAAGAATGATTATCATTATATCGGTTCGATTATCGGTCCGGTCTAGGAATTTTACGGGTTGGAAAATTTCTCGACTTCCCTGGACATAGAGTATGATTGGACTTGCCACACAATTACTGTGGACCCCCTGTGATCTTATCATTTATATGTTTATATGTTTTGTGGAAGCTGACTTTTGTGCTTAGATTATTATGTATAAACATCTTAACCAGATTTACAAACTCATGGTATGTGGAATTGAAGTGTGTGCTAGGGATTCGCTATCAGCTAGACTATCTACACCAAGGGAAAAGACAGCTGTTGATTATGAGCTAAGAGGAAGAGGAGACAATAGGGGGACTATTATGGATAAATTTTCTGTCGACCGTGAACCAACACCTGATTGGTCGAGTGAACATATAAAAACGCAACAGGGAATCTAATTTCCTTGTATTTTGGCAGTCGACTGCGTCGCTCACAATGAAATAGTTTTTGCACGGTCGTTTCCGCGAGAGAAGAATGTGGATGATGGTTCCACCTCCTACCCCTACAAAGGTTTGAGCTGGACGATTTATCTTTAAGATAATTAAATATGACATTTTAATCAGGTTAGCAAACAAAATCGAACTGGTTTCAGTTACAGATATAAATTCCCTCTAGAGTTTACAGTTGCTTCACAGCGATATAAATGTGGAAAAGCTCAGGCGTCCACCTCTTAGTTTGCCTTTTTGTCCACCTAAAATATTCATAAGTATTACAAGCAATCAAGAGTTAATGAACAATCAACAAAGCATCCTATTACACTAGCAACCCCGCAACGCCAAATTGTATCTCAATTTCCTCCTGAATTTAAAACCCATGGCGATTTCTATCATCTGCTGATTCTATGGCGATTTCTAACATCTGCTGATTTAATTCCTTATTCAGAAAATGAGAGACAATGACAATTCTGCTCCCAGTCGTTGGTGAAAATAAGACATTGCAGTTTATTTTTGAGAAAATTGCTTTGTTAGGCCTAAACCAAATAAACCATGTAAAAAATCAAACCCCCCCTCCTCCCTAAAAATGTAAACCTAACAAATACGCATGAAGATTTCAGTGTAAGTGAATCTGTTTCTCCATGATGAAAAAATGAAGTGTTTCACACAGCAATCGAGTATTCTATATTTATTCTATAGAATTCATGATAGTATTCATGAAAACCATCCCACCGACTGTGACTACAAAGATGTTTTTGATAAAGACATAGCTAATTATAACAATATTAAGTTTAAATTGAGTAGAATTAATTGGCAATCAGTTTTGAGAAATCAAGAGAATGTCGATTGTGCACAACGTTGCCAGGTCATTTTCAGAAAAATCTGGACCTGTCAAAATATAAAATCTGGAAAAATCTGGAATGCTCCAAAAAATCTTGTTTGTAACATAATGCTATTTAAATCAAAGGGATCTGCCGATCTCCCGTAAAAATCGCTCAGTATGATCATCTGGAATTTTTTCAAAGTACCAGAATGTTTATGAATTCCAAGTTTTAAAAAATTATGAAATTATATAAAGCAAACTTGTAAGTATTGCTTAAATCATGCCAAAGTTAAGAAAAGTATTGACACAGTGTACCCATAAAGTTTAAATATCCATTACGCAGCATTTCAAAATTGAGTTAAACTGTAGAAAATGTTTTTAGGATTCTGAAGCAGCAAAGAATCAAGCAACTTTGATGGGATGATTTTTTTAAGCCAAGCTAAGCGATTTACCCAAGTAACCATAGGCACCTTATTTCGCCTTTTTGGCTATATACGGGCCTCATCAGAACTTACAAACATTGGTATAGCCGTTGTTTAGCTGTATATAGCCAAAAAGGCGAAATAACGTGCATATGGTTACTTGGGTAGTCCTTACTATTTGATGTTGTACCAGAATATGTCTTAAAGATTTTTTTAGTTCTAAATAATTCTAATATTACCCTGAGGTTTATCAGACTTAAAATTTTACTCTTGAAGTCATACAACTCACAACACCCGGTAGACCAGTAGGCAATTTTATTCTAAACTAAAATTCTCCTGACTGAAGTGAGAATAAAAGCCTAACATCGTGGTACTCACACACAGTTTACCTAAACTACGGGTAACTCCACATGACCAGTGTTGGAAAAGTTCGCGATATTTCACGAAGTTCACCAAGGGAAAAGTTCGCGAGTCATAGTGAATTTTCGTGAACTTTTCCATCACTGCACATGACCATTACAGATAATTATGCCAAAGAATAATTTTATTACATAACTAAATTTAAATTCTGAAAGCGTCATTTTTGAAGTCTCAGGATCTTGAAATGGTTCTAAATTCTGGAATATATATTTCCTGGGTCTCAGATCATTACATTTTTAGTTAGTCTGAATTTACTTGGAGCTCTTCACAGAATATCTTCGTCCTTTTTTCAGAGTTCAGTTTGAATCATCCTAGAATTTCAGCATACGTCTTTTCTGGATTCCCCTAAAGTAATCTTGATAGTATCCAAACCATTTCAGTAACATTCTATGAGTGCTTGGCATAATCTCTTGTAATCTCTTATAAATCGCTCTCTCATTCCACAGTTCCCTCAGACTGGTAATAATTTCCAAGAATCGGCATAATTTTGTCTCAATTTTTCTCTATGAAATTCCCTTGGAATATTCTTAATATGTATTGGTATGCTCTTCAGAATGACCGTCACATTCTTCTCAAACTTATCCTTTGAACTGCTTTGTAGGTAAGATAAGAATTGTTTTGAAATCCTCTTCAGTATTTCCTAAGTGCTCAAGTAATTTTCCAAAATGGCCCTGAAAGTCTCCCAAAAATTGCAAGATTTCTTAAAATTTGATAAAAATGAACAGAAAAATGGACAGAATCCCATTGAAATTATTTTCCCGATTCGTATCAGCATTCTCCTTAAGTTTCATCTTAAGAATTTTCTATGATTTCTCTTCCGAATTTGTAAAGTTTGTAAAAGACAATTGACACTGTTTTCAACCAGAGGTTGCACAGACTGCATACTCACATTTCACTGTAAACTATTTTCAGAATTACCTTACAATTCTGCAATCTAGGGCAATTCAGAATTCTTAGGTATTTTAGACTGCTAAGGTAGCTCAATATTCACAGGTTCTTTAATAAAAAATGCTAATAATTATAAGATTCCTTTAAAATTCTCCTAAAAAATCTACTTACTTATTCTCAAAAAAACATCACGAACATACTTCAAAGTCCTGGTGGTTGTCTAGATTCAAAGGCCTTGCTAATTTTTCAAAGCTCAATTTATTGTTTTCAATCCTGAACAGTTTTCGATTTCTATAAATTCCAAAATTAGGAAAACTCCTCCACATTGATTTATTTTTATTTTTATGAATCCAGGATTTAAAAAAAAAAAACAATTATAGCCAACATCTAAACAAAAGCTCAAAATAAAAAAAAAATATCTAGCTTGATATTTTTAAAATATTTGAAGATTTTTTTCAGCCATTGCAAACATGTTGTAACAATTCCATGTATGCTGTTGCACTAATGTCCAACGTTGATGGCCTTAAGTAATGAAAGTAGTAAGTTTGGCTTTATTTTATTTTTTATTAGAGGGTCCATAAATTGCAGTGATATTTTTAGAGCAACACATTTTAAAAATCTGGGAAAATCTGGAACATATTTAAAAAATCTGGAAATTACCATGATCTGTCTGTGTATCTGGCACGTCGACTGAAAATCTGGAAAATCCAGATAAATCTGGAATACTGGCAACGCTGATTGTGCAGTAGACGTTTTTTATAAAATTTTATTGGAAATTAAACAAGAGGAAATTCCTTTTAGGATGACCACGTAGTTATCGCTCCAAAAATCCGGTTTGGTTCAATAAGCAAATTATTAATTTGAAGAATCGGAAACAAAAGGCTGACAAAATATATAGAAAACAGAATAATCAGGGTAATTTGGAAAAGTATTTGAATATTTGTGACCAGCTTAATTTTGCTGTTTCTTCTGCACTTAATGAGTACAACATAAAAACTGAAAATGAAATTAAATCATGTCCAAGAAACTTTTTCAATTACGTTAAAACTAAAAAAATAATTCGTACAACTTTCCATCAAAAATGACTTTAGACGAAAAAGTAGGAAATAATTCAGAAGATACCGGGGAAATGTAGGTAATTTCGGCCTAAGTGCCCCTAATTTGGGCCCATACATAAATTCAGCAATCGACTAAATTTTCAATAGCAACCAAAAATATCCATTAGTAACGTCCCAATAACGCGTTCATCTAGATAAAATTGATAAATGGCAGATTTTTAGCGATGGGCCCAATCTTAGATTCATAGGCCAACATTTCCCCTGTAATCTTTTTGCAACATTTTTTCAAGAGACGTACCTACCATAGAGGTAAATCTAAGACCACTGGGTCCCGAAGAAAATCATTATTATTTTTGGCTCACTCAGTACCAGAACAACGGTCCCAAGCAGTCCCAAGCTATTTCACTCACCCCTGCATGTTCTGCATGAATCCACACACCCCTGATATTATCTGTCAAACTTTCATAGCGAATCAAAACAAACATAGTGTAGTAATAGAATTTCAACTAGAATAGGGTACGTTAATCGTTTGCTTGGGACCAATAGGCTACTAAGTGGTGAGCCAATTTAAAATCGTTAGTTTCGTATTGATTGTTGCTACTAGCTGATACAGCTGAATTAAATAGTCGAGAAAAGTGATTCATGTGCACTATTATAAAGCCTCTACTCAACGGTATTATTGTAGAAAGTCATGTATATTTGTTTAAGTCAGTTCAACGTGTTGACGTAGCGAAGATGGTAGTGTCAAGGTTTGCCAATACGGTCGTCTCGAGTTCGATTCCAGGTTCCGGTGCAGGGTAAATAATTTGGTGGTGCCCGGAAAAAATAACCATACAATTACCATAAAATATTATACATTCACAACACAATCTATTTCGAACAATTGGTCCTATTGTATGTATATCATACAAGTAAATTTAAAATATTGCTATTACAATAGATGTACGATACGTACCATATAGTATGAATTTTCAACAATAGAAAAACAATAAAATTAATGATAAATGACTCATGTTTGTTCGGGAAAAAGTGATTTTTTGTATGGTTAAGATACATAACAACCCCCTTGTCCTATTGTAGATTATCCAATTTACCACAGATCCTATTGTGGAAACAATAAATCCTATGGTTATTTTATCGTTGTGGGCAATACGATTTATTGTAAATGCAATAAATTATATTGTATGGTTACAATACATTTCATTGTACCTCTGTGGTTCTTTTTTTTACGGGTGTGCTTATAACTAATTTCGAATAATTTGATTCTCGCAGCAAAATAAACTCAATCAATTCCATCAACAAAACAAAAAACCGTAGATAATATTTAACTCGGCTTCAAGAGAAAGCTGTGTAGCCAATTATTGGATAATCAGGTAAAGGTTGAGTAAGCGCCTTTCAAGTTCACACACCACTAAACAGCAGGATAACAGCTGTATAGAAGCGTAAATAGATATGCAATAAGAGCTTGTTCCAACCGTCACAACAGCTAGAAGTAGCTAACTAAGTTCGCCAGATTTGCTTGTATAGAGATTGAGTAAAGGTTTCCTCATATCGTATAACATATGAATACAGCTTGAAGCTGAATAAATGAAATGAGTAAAGCGTTTACATTGCGAAAATTGTTAGTTGGGTATTTTAATTATTTGATGGCTTCTACACAACCAATCTTGCTGAATAGCATAAACATCAAAAGTGCTTTTTCAACAACTAAACAACCTGTACTCAACTAATAAACTGTGTTGGCGCTACTTTGGAAGCTATTTTACAGTCAACTAGGTTTATTTTTAGATGCGTGCAGTTTTACAGCTTTTACTCTGCTTCTTCGTGAAGTTGAATTAACTAGTCGAGAAAAATGATTCATGTGCACTATTATAAAGCCTCTACTCAGCGATCTTGTTGTAGAAGGGCATTTAAATTTGTTTACGTTAGTTCAAAGTGTTGGCGTACCGAAGTTGGTAGTATCAAGGTTCGCCAATACGGTCGTCTCGAGTTCGATTCCAGGTTTCGGTACAATGTAAAACATTTGGTGTGTGCTTATTATAACTAAGTTCGATTAATTTAATTCGCAGTAAAATAAACTTGATAAATTCCTCCAACAAAAAAAAAAAGCGTAACAATATTTAACCAGGCGTCAAGAGAAAACTGTGTAGTGATTATTGAATAATCGGGTAAAGATTGAGTAAGCGCCTTTTAAGTTCACACACAACTAAACAGCAGGATAACAGCTGTATAGAAGCGAAAATTACTTTGACCCGCTCTACCTACTTTTGGGTTCCTGCACTATAGTGCCGAGATGAGTGAAAAGAACTTAATTTTGGATACTTTTTTTCTGGCAGAGCGAGAAGCCGAGACGACCAACAAAAAGAATAATAATAAGCAATAGAATCTTTTGTCCGGCTGGCTTCTCGTATTCTCTCTGTGCGGGCCCTTAAGGTTCAATTTACTTTGATACATTTTTTAAAAATTCAAAAGCAGTTTTTTTCTACGCATTCTTTTAGATTGCAAAAAGCTCGCGTCATTTTGTGTAAAATGTCAAAAAGAATCGAATAGTGCGAGCTTTTTGCAATCTGAAATAATGCGTCGGAAAAAACTGCTTTTGAAATTTTCCAAAAAGCATCAAAGTAAATTGAACCTTAAGCTGGATTTAGACTAGGCAAGTCAAAATTTGATAAACTCAGTTGAATTCAATTAGCTTGAACCAGGCTCAACTTTTTTTCAATTCAAGTAAGTTGATCATGTCAGTTGAATGGCATGGTTTACACGTTCAATTTATTTGCGTTCAAGTCAGTTGAATTCAACTGACTTGATCAATTGACTTGCCCTGTCTAAACCCAGCTTTAAGCTTGCAATGATTTGTAATCTCACGCTAACAACTCGTACGATCCTGCTTTAATGGTAGATAAGCAAAAGGCGAGTTGAATTTGATAAACGTTATTATGGATAGTTACTTTCGAGTTTGAACACAAAGCTTATTCCTGTTAAATTTCAATTACCGAATTGATAACCGTAATTCTAAAGACTTGTTTATAAATTCAGACCAATTGAGTCTATTAGAGCATAAAATACAGACAGAAACTGCTTCAATTTTGGGCTTTGGTAAAGAAAAACATATCAAGAAGACTGACAACTATGCCTGAATTCAAGGGACAAATGCAGCGCTGCTCTTGAACGAAGGCATTGACTACCAAAGCTAACTCTTAGAAACTGTTCATAAACTACGCAGATCGATTTTGAGAGGTTTTCAACCCCTCCTTCACACCGCGTAGTCCATCACCAACCATCCTATTTGTTACAGTGACAAAAAAAAAACACAAACATAGTCCAGTACGTTTGATTGTACTCAATTTATTACCAGTCCATTAATAGACTAACAAAAATCCTTCTTAAATTCATGAATTCTCCTGAATCCAATCGTTGAAAGCGGAAACGCGGGAGGAAATCGATGGCACTCCCGGTATACCGCACGGGAAAACTTGCCAGGTTATGATACCAACAAGCACATGCTGTCCGTTGGTAACCTGTACTACTGGGCCACCGGCATCTCCGTTGCAGGCACCAATACCACCAGTAGCGGGTCCCAAGCAAACGTTTTCTGGAGTAATCGGCATGACTCCATATAACATTTGGGTGCAATTTTCATTGGGGAAGACTGAAACACGTGTTTGCTGCAGAATGGTTGGCGTGCCTGGCAACAGACCCATTGACGTTGACCCCCATCCGGCGAAGCGTACCACTCCGCTAGGAATAGAATTAGGTATTGGCATGACAACCGGTTGAATAAAACTGTTGAATCCGAAGGGAGATTGCAGACGAACCTAGAAATGAAGATAATTAAATGATCTTTCTTTGATTTTTATAGTCATTGCCTTACAATCGCCAAATCGTAAGGGGTTGGTGATCCGTCGTAATTCGGATGCATGGTGAACCACAACATGTTGACGGTCTGCTCGACCGGTTCAAATTGGTTTAAGTTCAGTTTACCGGCCTGAACACGGTGCCTACCGGCGGATTTTCCGAAAAAACATTGAGCTGCCGTTAGGACGTGGAAGTTGTTCAGAATGGTACCACCGCAAACGTGGGTCGAAATCGTCAGAAACAGTCGCTGGATCGATACTATGTACGGATACTCCCCGGCTAGGGCGTCTACGCCACCAACGATACGGCTATTCTTGCCATCTGTGGGAACAATGTCCTGGATATGCTTCAAATGTTTCAAAGTTTACGTTTGAGAATAACTTACCTGAATTGAGGGCCAAGGCGGTGGCCAAGCACAGGCACAGTACCACGACTTTGATCATCTTCCCGAGTGTGTGTTGTCTGCTGCGCTTCCCGAACCGAACTGAGAATAATCCCTTAAGACAGCTAACGAGGTAATATCATTCGGTTTGAAGGGGGTTATCTTATCATCATCCGGGGATGGTTCATCATCGGTTGTGACACTCTGCTGAACACGATTTAGATAACATTTTGGCTATTATTCAATGCGTTTTGGTTTGTTTCCTATCGATATCAATCCATGTCTGCGATTTGTAACGAGTTAATGAGTTTGTTATCTGTTCTTTCCATTTTATTATTGAAAAATTGGAAGATGAGTGCTTAGCGGAATGACTAACGTATACATTTATTATTTTCAAGTTTCGGTGTTATAACGTCAAGAATCCACCCAAGGTGAGGGGAAATCAGTGTATGCACAGAAGGTCCACTTCCGCAGGGGTTGACCGTCCACGATGGCATGGCTAGCAGGTTGAATGGTTGCCGTGCGGTGGCAATCATCACTGGACCACCTGAATCGCCAATGCATGTTCCGGTAGCAGTCGCACTGGTGTCGGTACAGATGGTGTCACCTGTTAGATAAGCTGCCAGGGATCCAAGACGCTGGTAGCATTGATTGTATGAAAGTATTGGAACGATGGCGGCCTTGAAAGGAAATGATGGGAAATTTACTACTTTTTTGCCCATGAACTTAGTAAATTCATTTTGTTACACAAAAATTGAGCTTATTTCATTGTAGGGGGAAGTACACACTGACAAATAGATAGAACTCTTCATTTTTGGTGATTGCACGCGCATTTAATTTCCAATTCAAATATAATTTGTTTGCAATTTACATACCGCAGCGGTGGTATACGATAGTTTTGACGTTTCTATTGAATCAATGTGCATTATTATCAATCCGCAAGCTTATGTTCCACGATCAGATTTATAATGGGTTTCGAGTCGTAATGAGTTTTCCTTGAACAGATTCTTAATCTGTTATTATATGAATGATATCTTAAAAACTGTTTAACGTCGCAGAGTTTTAAAAGTAAAAACTAAGAATTTAGAATTTCTGTATCTGGAATATTAAAATATTTTCGATTTCTAAATTAACTAGATCATCGATTCTCAACGTTCCACTACCGTGTGGAAAGCTAGCAGGGTGCCACTGAACCGAAGAAATCGGGAATTTTATTGAAATTTTTCAATGTTTTTCGAACTTATGGTTTGTTATTCACGGCTAGCTCAGTATAAGTTGGGTTTCTTTTCAGGGTCGGCTACATTCACTTGCTTCGGGAGGACATCACACATACAACCAATCAACATGAGAATAATAGGCGGAACAATACAGGACACCAAGACAGTCTCTCAAGAAAAAAAAGGCACAAACACAGAAAATAAGCTTATTCATTATATAATTTTCAATTTAAAAGATACATCATAAGGGGGGGGGGGGGGGTCGTTGCGGCCGATCAGGAAACGGTGGGGCCCATGCGTAGAGGGAGAGAGAGAAAGGGATTTTGTAGTTTGGTTACCTCTGATGATAGGGTGGTCAGCTACTCCAATCAGCACCCATGATCCTGGTCTCCATGGGGGGAACTCCGCCGATATGTTACCGAGGTCGTTGTGTAGATCCGTAGCTCGGCGTACCTTCTCGATGCTCCGACAGAGTAAGGTTTGAATAACCGACGTTCCACGCGCTCGCAGACGGGGCAGTAGCACATTGGATTTTGGGCACTGGCAAGCGGGGGCGGACCCGCCAGACCTTACCAGACCCTCACCGCCACAGCTTTGGCTACTGCTCGCCCGTTGCGTGTGTCGTAGCAATGGCGGATACTCGCTAGACACCAGCGCGGGACTCGCCGATCCCCAACTCACTTCTTCCTGGATCGTGGTTAGAGCGCACGTGGGAACTATTGTCACCGTCTCCGTTTGCGGGTATTTATATGTGGGGGGGGGTCTCCTTGGTACCACTTTCCACACGGTTTCTCCAAGGCCAACACTCGTCGGAGGTCTCTGCTGGAGGAATTGAACCCAGGCTTCGGTCTTCCAATACTTTCCTTTCGGCCTCAGGTGGACAAGCACTCTCTCCAAACCACTCTTTTACTTCGTTCTTCGTTTTTCTTTCTATACTCTCGATCCAAACTCTTGGACGGTCTACTACTTTCTGCCGGCTTTAGCAAAACTCCTTCATCATCTCCCCTCTCTCTCCCTTTTCTTCCTTTCTCTCTCTCTTTCTTACTCTCCTCTTCTAATTTTCCGGTGATCCGTGATGCCAACATTGGAGATGCATAAATGACATGTAATCGAACGGATAAGATGTGAGCCGTTTTCGAGGGGTTAGTAGATTTTAAACTAGGTAATATTAATGCGGACTTTGCCGTCTTTTGTTTTTTTATTTACATTTTTATTGTTTTTATTTATTTATTTATTTATTTATTCACAGTTATCTGCATGCAAAGATTTACAAACATTAATATAGTGGGCTGGGTAACTAATTGAACGGTTTATATTTATGTTAGGTATAATTTATTTACAAATGAAAATGTGCCAAGGGAAAATATTGAATTCAAATAATTATTTCTATATATATATATACTAACAAATCTAAACTAATGAAAAAAAGGACCTAACCCTAACCTCAACTAATCTCCTTATGTGCCTTGCCTTGAACCAGACTATTGTTCCCAAGTTGTTGGTAACAATCATCCCACCTCCCATAAAAAAATTACCAAACTAGCCTAGGTTGGTAATTTTTCGTGTCATGGATCGATGTTTCACGCAAACTATCAGTTCTGTGAGTATACAATTCTCCGGATCCTATGTTTTAATGATTTGTTTCTATTATAAATACTAACTGCATTCCAGATGCTCTCTTATAACTTCTATTTTTTTCGTTTGCTCGGTTATTCATTGATTTTGTTGTTTCATTTCCTGCAGTTCCTTGTTCGTTTTGTTTTTATTCAGTTTATAATGGAAGCTCTTTTCTTCTTATTAATAAACAATATTTATTCACTTATCTCAAACACACTCTCATTCAGACTCTCATTCAATTGGGTACCCTTCTCATTACATTCATTCAACACTCATGCTTTCCACAATCATTTCTTTATTAACCCTAACTCAACTTATTATTTTAATCTACTTTAATTATCCTAGAAGACTTGTACCATCTTCATAGATTTCCTATGTTAGAAGACTTCATCTGTCTTCTAAAAGATCGAAGAGGCTAAATAACTACCTCAACGATGATCACCTTGGTTTTGGTATTAATAAACAGGGATGTAAACAAAGTTAATCTTTCTCGTGGAAAGAAACAGTTTTTCGTCTGTTTTAAGTCTAGGGCCAAGCTGTTTTCGTCAAAACAGCTGGTCCCTCGGGTACCATAAAACAAGCATAATTATAGCATATCTATCTTCGAATTAGAGATTTGAGCCATTTAGCTACCTGTCAAACTTTTGCAGGTGAACGCACGGTTTCGAACACCTGTGAAAGGAAATCCGAAACAGAAACAAACAGAAAAGTTATTATGGTACGGCTAACAACGCATCGAGTTATCGGAGAACGAACAAATTTCTTTGAAAATTCTTATTTAGTTGGAGGAAGAATTATTGCTGCTCGTTGGAATTTTGTGGCTACGAAGCCGTGGGGCTATCTACGCTTTCTTCCAGTTTCATCGCTGCAATTGAGTTGTTTGGGAGAGGAAACGATTGTATACCAGACAAATTCTATTATTTTCTGCAGGCTGCACCGGCTGAGGTCAATGACCTAGAGAGATACAGGATATAGGTCGAGTTGGGGTTGGGTTCTGATTTCAGAGAGCGATGATCCTTCGCCGTAGGTGCTTATCAGTTGATGAAGTGAATTCTATCCGGGTTTCAAATGTACGGCTGGCCAAACACCTAATGATTTACCATCGAGATCTGTGATTTCATAGGACGATGAACCAATTTTCCGTACTATTTTAGCTGGTAGGTATTGAGGCCCATATTTAGCATTGTAGTTTTCAATAGCACTAGACTGCTTCATATTGCGCCTATAAACCATTTGACCTACTTCTAGTGCTTTTCCATACGCTCTATGACGAAGATCATATCGTTTAAGGCCTTCCTGATGGGCTTTTTGGAGATTTTCCTGAACTAATTTTTTAATATTACTAAATATTTCAGTCTGACGCTTTTCACGATCAGCTGTAGATAGTGGTGGGTCCTCATAGCCGTACTGATGGTCTGATCCCTTCAACAACATTTCGTATCCGTGCGTCGTGAAGAATGGAGTCAAGTCAGTCGCTGAATGCACCGAAGTGTTGAGCACTGTTTCTATTTCGGACAACTTGGTATCCCACAGTTTTTGATCGGTTTTAACGTAAGTTCGTATGGCTACGTTTACTGTTCTATTTACCCTCTCCACAGGGTTAGCCTGCGAGTGGTATTTAGAATTGAGCCAGTGCCTAATGTCGAACTGCGTACACATCAAGCGAAATTCTCGGGACAAAAAGCACGAAGCATTATCAGTAATCACCACTTCGGGGACTGAGTTACGGTAAAACCATTGATCCCTTAAAGCTTTGCAGAGGCTCTGACTATCTATCTTGCGGAAGGGGACTAGCATGATCCATTTGCTAAACAAATCGACGACGGACAAAATGTATTGATTCTGTTTTCGACTTCTGGGAAGTGGACCTATGAAGTCTAGGGCTATGATCTGCCATGGGTGAGTAGTGATCCGTTGCTCTCCTAACGAGGGTGCTAGGGCTATGTTGGGAGCCTTAGTTTCCTTGCATATGGTACATTTATTCACGTACTCCCGTACGTCAATTACCATCCTTGGCCAAAAGTAGCGCAAACGAATTCTGCTGAGAGTGCGGTCAGTTCCAGGATGCATGGAATTATCGTGACATTCTTTGATAATCCCAGCTCGATCGCTCGGTTGTGGAACTATTTTCCAATCGAATCGATCGTCATGCACATCACTGGGGTTTGATACGTATTTGAACAACACACCTTCACGTACCTGAAAATCGACATGTTCATCTGGTTGCTCAGAAACCTTTTCGAGCAAATTTTCATACCAAGCCTGAGCTGACTCAATTGGGTTTGGGTTCGGTTTGTTAGATATCATGGAAGTGGACGGGAAAACAGTAGCAACCGCATTTTCATCTCCTATAGCCACAGCACCTGGATCAGCAACAACAGCAGCAACACTGCGGGAGAGCGCGTCTGCCACAACATTCTCTTTGCCCCGCCGATGGCGTATAGTCATATCAAATTGTTGTAAATGCAGGCACCACCTACTACAACGAGATGCAGTTTTCCATTTAGCCGTCAGGATGTGTGTTAGGGCGGCGGAATCAGTGGTCACCGTAAAATGTGAGCCCTCGATATAGCCTCTGAAGGCTTCAATGGAAAGAAGAGCCGCTAGCGCTTCTTTTTCACAAGCATGATAATTTTTTTGCGGAGTTGTCAGCTTATGTGAATAGAAGGCTATCACCCTTTCAAAACTACCCTGAATCTGCGTAAGAATCCCGGCAACTGCCACGTCACTGGCATCTGTCTGTATAGTGAATTCTTGTGAGAAATCAGGGCAGGCGAGGATCGGTGCTGAAATAAGCTTCTCCTTGATTAAATTGAAGGCTTCTTCCGCGGCCTCAGTCCAGCTTA